CCTCTCCATCGTCCTCGTCCTCGTCCGCGTCCTCGTCATCATCATCATCATCATCATCATTCATCATTCATCATTCATCATTCATCATTCATCGTTCATCATTCATCATTCATCATTCATCATTCATCATTCATCATTCATCATTCATCATTCATCATCATCATCATCATCATCGTTATTCAATTACATTTTATCATTATTGGCAATTTTTGTCATTATCACGAAAGCTAGCGTCAGCTCGCTAGAGCCTTCTTGCTTTAGCACGTATTCCGGGGCTCCCCAAGGACATCACGTGATTTTTCCCGCGAAAGGGCCCCCCCCTGCCCCCTCCCCCATATATATCATTGTTATATATCATATATCAATATATCATTGTTGCATCCTCGTTGGGACGAACAATGCCGCGACACGATGATGACAGTCCCTCCGCAACTCACCTCTTCCCTTCCTTCTTTCTCCTACCCCGCTAGCTTTCGTCATCCACCCCCGGCCTCAAGTAGATAGATAGATAGGCAATTAGATGAAAAAGAGAGAGAGATAGATAGATAGACAGATAGATAGATAGATAGATAGACAGATAGATAGATAGATAGACAGATAGATAGATAGATAGGTAATTAGATGAAAAAGAGAGAGAGAGATAGATAGATAGACAGATAGATAGATAGATAGACAGATAGATAGATAGACAGATAGATAGATAGATAGGTAATTAGATGAAAAAGAGAGAGAGATAGATAGATAGACAGAGACAGATAGATAGATAGATAGACAGATAGATAGATAGATAGACAGATAGATAGATAGATAGATAGGTAATTAGATGAAAAAGAGAGAGATAGATAGATAGATAGATAGATAGATGGATAGATAGATCGATAGATAGACAGATACATAGAAGATAGATAGGTAGGTATGTAGATAGTCAGAGAAAGAGAGAGAAAGAGAGGAGACCTCAAGCACCTTTCGGTCCATCGTGGCTTCGCTCTGCCATCCCTGATTCACAACAACCAGTCTCTCCTATAGGTTTCCTATTTTTGAAACTTCCGCCACCGCCTTGTGCGGTACTACTGGTATTGTATTATATTATATTATATTATCTTATATTATATTATATTATATTATAGTAAATCATATTATATCACATTATATAATGTTACACTATATCAAACACACACACACATATATATATATATTATATAATATCGTCGTATTCCCTATGAAGTTCCTGCAACCAACTGACCGTAATAACTTCCCAATTTTGCATCTCTACCAGTGCTCCCATGCAATCCCCAGGTTTGTGTGAAGATAGGGTACCCCTCAAATCCACAGGTTGATCAATCACCATTCTTATTATCAACTACATACATACAGGCAGGCAGGCAGGCAGACATACATCCATCCATCTATCCATCCATCCATCCATCCATACATACATACATACATACATACTCATAATATCCAAACTATCCCATTACATTCCCATTTATTGAAGCAGGTGAATATCATGCAAAAACAGATGAAGGAAGACAATGCGTTGGGCGAGATGCTCAGCAAGGAGCGACGCTTGGAGGAAAGAACCAAGCGGCAGCGTTGGGGGGAGCGACAAATATGGCGGATGGTACCATGTGGCGCCCGAGCTGTTTTCTGATTTTTGATAGGCAAATGGTTTTGAAGCATTCGGGAGTTGGGGAATGATCTCCTTGCGGGGAAAACCTATTGCTTTCACCTTTTCCATGCTAGCTCTTGAACTGCTGTGCCAAAAAAGAGTGGGGTGCGGATTCCCCGCCCCAAAAGTGCCATAAAGTGCCAAGAGTCGAGGTTTAAGCAGAGATTTTTATCTTGTTCCAGAGGCTCTGCCGAAAGATGGAGAGTCGACTTCGGGTGGCTTCCGCAGGGAAACAGAGATATGGCAGCCGGGCAATTCTTGGACATATCCAACTAGATGTAACACAACCCACAACTACCCATAGTTGGTGTGGCTATTTCCTGAATGACAAGACTAATATTTTTGGTGTGGCTAGAAACCGGCAAAACCAGTTGACGATTTTTCATGCTTAAAAACACAAAATTTTGTTGATGAAGTCCCTATTTTGCCTAAAAGTCACAGTTTTTGCTGGTTTTCCCCCTTGCCTAAGTGAAAGACCCAGGAAAGGTGAGTAAAAGCCTGGAGAAGCAACTGGAGGACGCCAATGCTCGTTGGAAGCCGCTTGGCTCAGCATTCCCTCTGCTAATCAAAGGTGGCTAGCTGGAAAATCAGCCATTTAGTTTGATGATTTTCCCACTGACAGCTCCATTTTTTCCATTTTTAGTTCGAAATTTCCCAGCCATCAGTCTGCCATGTTTTTTGGCCGTTTCGGGTAACCAATGGTAACCATCAGCTGCGGCTCGCACAGGCGGTTCGGGGTTCGGGGCAGGGATGAACATCGCCGAGGCGTGGCCAACAGGAGTGGGAGCAGATGCACACCGACCTCTTGGAATCGGAAGCGCGCAACCGGAGGTGGACGGGGTCGACTCGTCATTTGTGGCGTCACGGAGTGGGCTAGCGGCTATCTCTCGAGGAATGATGAGTTATGTAGGGGGAATGATCCCGTTAACCCTCACCGGCAGGTCAGTATGGCAGTTGAGGGTCATTGCATGGGAATACAAGCATAACGCAGGCCCTCCAAATACCTGGAGGGCTATATATATATATATATACATTTTTTTATTTTCCCGTTTTGGGATTTTGTGGTTTTCTGGTTCCCAGCTTCCCAGCTTTTCTGCGTTTTCCTGCTTTTCTGCTTCTTTGCTTTTGTGCTTCTTTGCTTCTTGGCTTCCTTGCTTCTTTGCCCGTCTGCTTCTTTGCCTCTCTGCTTCTCCGCTTTTCTGCTTTCCATGCTTTTCTGCTTTTCCAGCTTCTCTGCTTATTGCCTGCTTTTCTGCTTTTCCGCTTCTCTGCTTCTTACTGTTTTTCTTGTTTCTCACACTGTAGATAAACCTTAAGACACATTATACAAAAAAACCCTAAATCAGCCCTAAACTCTGAGTAAACCCTGAACATTCCCTAAATAAATCTGAAACTATCCCTGAATAAACCCTAAACCAACCCTAAATCGATCCCAAACCAACCTCAAATATATGTTAAACTAAGCCCAAATAAATCTAAAACCAGGCGTGAATAATTCCTAAACCAACGCTAAACAAACCTTAAAGCAACCATGATGGTTGGTACCTCGTCTGTACACGTGAGAACGCAGATGAGTTCCCTACCACTGGGGTTGTAGGTCCTACACCAACTCTAGATAGATCCTAAACCACGCCTAAGTAAACCCTAAACCAGCCCCAAACAGATGCTAACCCAAGCCTAAATAGACTTTGAACCAACCCTAAATAGATCCTAAACCAAGCCTAAATAAACCCTAAAACCAACGCTAATCCTAAACCAACCCAAAACAGATCTTAAACAAAGCCTAAATAAATTCTAAACCAAATCCACACAGATTTAAAACAAGCCTAAATAGGTCCTAAACCAACCCTAGATAGATCCTAAACCAAGCCTAAATAAACCCTAAAACCAACCCTAAATAGATCTTAAACCAACCCTAAATAGATCTTAAACCAAGCATAAATAAACCCCAAAACCAACCCTAAATAGATCTTAAACCAACCCTAAATAGATCTTAAACCAAGCATAAATAAACCCCAAAACCAACCCTAAACACATCCTAAACTAACCCTTAAAAAAACACTTAAATAAACCCTAACTCCAAAACTAACCCCTAAAACTTAAAGCCACACCTAGCAAAAACCCTCAACTAACCTTAAAACCGACCTTAAATGAACCCTAGTTGCAAACTACCATGTTACATGAACAGTTCAAGCACCAAACTGTTGCAAATTCCATCGACAATGAGAGGTTCCTACTCAAAAATGCTGCAAATACTGTTGAAATGGACCCCCCCCCAAAAAAAAAACAAAACGGAGAAAAAAAACCAAACAATTCCGCCCGCCCGAGAAATGGTAAAAAGTACGCTACTAAACTTATGGGTCAAACCATTATTTTCATGGGTACTTGGAGGATGTAGGTACACTCCTTGTTACAATCCACTATTGGAATCAGACCCATGATCTTGATGGGGTTGTGACATGTTGTGACTACTTGGAGGATCAGCAAGTACAGGTCACCTCCCCCAAAGGTGATAGATGGTTTTTACATGTTTTTACGCCCTGGTCCGTGGTTGTTGCTGGTCAACCCTGTCCAAAATGACCCAAACATTGCCGGGGGGGTCACCAAAATGGGGGTTTGGTAGGTCATCCACTATTGCCATTCTACCTCCACCAAGTTCCCAACCCCATGAACTCCCATTGTACATTACTGCCATGAAAAATCCACCCCAAAAAACCACAAAAACCATACAACAACTCCAACTTACCCACGACATCACCCATTTTTCACATTCCTACCGTTCCTCGCCGTGGCCAGGCAGGAGGAAGCCTACCAAGAGCTCTACCGAGAACTGGAGGAGCTCCGGGCCATGAAGGAGGCAGAACCTTGGACCCAAAAATGGTGCGTCTGCGTCACGCGATGAACGACGGACTTTTGACTTTTTTTTTTTTGCCAAGAAACGGTTGGTGATATTTCACCATAGTTTCATATATATATATATAACCATAGTTAACCATGAAAAACAATAGTGAACTAACAACTAATAACTGGAATCATAACTAGAATAGCCATAACTATAGTTGACTATGTATAGTTTCAAAATCAACCATAACTACAAATACTACAAACTATAGCTATAAGAACTGGGAATTAGGTACAGTTATAAGTTGCAACTCTCAGATGGAAACTATATGAACTAAAAGTAGGAAAACTAGAGCACACTAAAATCTGAACTAGGTGAACTGGCTTTATGGTGATTATACCCGAGACATTTGATTATCTAAAGAGATATTTCATTCTTTCAATTTATCAATGCTTTACAATGTGCATTGTTTTTCTGTGTCAAACATGATGACTATACTTAGATGGGGATATAAAATGATATAAACAAACTTATGAATTTTACGTGGCGCCACCATGTATGGAATATGGAAAGGCCAGGAGCCATGGATTGTTTTTTGAGAGCTTTTCACATTTTTTTCCACATACAACTGGGTAATGCTGGGTATAATACATTTCATTTGTACCCTCTGGTTATTTAACATAGCCATGGAAAATGGTCCATGTATATATAGATGATTTTCCCAGCTAGATATCTCCATTTTTAAGGGATTTTCCAGTTCGCTATGTTAGTCATAACCAGATGGTAACTTTTTTTTCCATGGTTGTTGGCTTGATGTTTGTGAAAACCACTGAGGACGCACATAAAAAAAGGGCCCCAATGAGTGGGATGAGAGGGTATCCTTGCGGTGAATTTCCATGGACACCAAACAAATATGCCAGGCATATGCCAAATATGGCTGTCACCCTTAGGGATCCCACTTAGTTAGGCATCAGATTCCTAATTTCAGGATGGTTGAAACCAATTAATTGTTACTCCATCTTCCACTGCTTTGTTAGAACATCTTAAGTTACACCCTATTCATCATTGAATCAACTACAAGGTGAGCCCCCCAGTCTTGTGAATGTTGGTTTGTATATCCACTAACTATAGTTCAATCATGTTCAATATATCTGCCATAAAGCATAGAATTCACCTAGTGAACCAAACCTCAACTCCCAATTTTATGGGCACCTGGGTATCACCGAGGAAGGGCAGGCCCGTGATAGCCACGCTGAGCACCTCAATGAGCAGCTCATGATGCTGTTGACCCCTACCCCGGCACCTTGGGCAGCGTTTCTTATCATTGTATATAAGGGTTTCCTAAAATGGGGGGACCCCTAATTATGATCCATTTCTAGATGGGTTTTTTAGTCATAAACCATCCATTTTGGGGTATGGAAACCCTCATATGTTTGTTATTAACTATGGTCATTGTTATTTATTGTTATTTATTGTTATTTATATATTGTTATTTATTGTTATTTATTGTTATTTCTTGTTATTTATTGTTATTGTTATTTATTGTTGTTTATTGTTATTTATTGTTTATGATTCAGCAAATTAAAGATGGGGAGTCATCAGATGAGCCAAGGAGCTACCAATTTTTCGTTGTTACCAACGCATGATCATTTGGCGATGTGGTTGGGGCTTTGAGGAACACAGATGAAGATTTCACCAAGCAAAATGGGGGATGTAACTGGTAGGAACAGTGGAATTTAACCAATCAAGCATGTTGAAAAATCGATATCCACTGAAGCAATGGGATTCAACTAGGGGGCTTTCAACAACAACCTTGAAACCTATGGGCCTATGGGCCTATGGGCATATGGGATAGAAAGCAACGAAAATGCATTCACATATGGAGATCGGAAAAAAAAACCTGGGTTACCATGTTGCCATTTGCGAAAAATTGGCTGGCTGAGTCATGGAGGGTTGACCGGGGGGGATCTTCCCAAGCTTTTCCACCAGGGTCCAAACCAGCAGACACAGGGATTTCACATGATTTCACCAGACGTTGGTCGACCACGATGCGTCAAGCCTCGATTTCTCGATTTTGGATCGCCCAAGAAGGGCATGTTTTTTGTGCAGGGTCGAACCATAAAAGGGAAACTGAAGTGAACAAACAACGGACCTCCGTTTTGAAGGGGAGGAATCAGTTTTCTTCGGAGGTTTGGCGGATGGTTGGCTTAATCAACTGCGGGTATGCAGAGGTTGGAAGCTCATTCCAGGATAATTATTTTGGACACCCGAAGCTACGTACTTTGTACAAAAAGCAAACACTTTCAAACTCCTCCAAAGGCCCAAAGGAATATATATATATAATATTGCATACATATATTACATATATACTATATACCAGCATCTTATTGTTATTTGCATGATATGTGTAGTCTTTATAATATAATAATGATAATATATAATGAACACATATATTTCTTTGACCACTCCAGTTTTTTCCCCATGTTTTCCTCTCTCGCCAGGCCAATGATCAGAACGAAGGCAACTTCAACTTCGGCCCCGCCCGCGCAAGTGTGGAGGGTTCCTTGCTGGAAAAACGTGGGGATCTTTGGATCTATATAGTATTACGTTCAAATGGGGGTTGCTATATACCTGGAAAATGGGGATGTTTACTTACCGACTTTTTTTTATAGAAATTTTGATAAAAATTGTGAGGATATTTCATGTGGATATGTAAAAAAACATTATTGTATGTTTCCCACATGTATATATAGAGAATTATACCCATTATGGTTGGTGTTCATCCCATTGTTATCATATACATCACAAGTCAAACAATGCTTTTTTTGCTGGTGGCCATTTTTAAATCCCCATGTTTCTTGGTCCTATTTTTCCCCATTTTTTAGAGGTTGATGAGCTCCTGAGGTGGGAAAGATCTGCTAAGTCAGCTGAGCCAACTGCCGGACTCTGACTCCGATGATCCGGAGACCGCGCCCTTTCTGGACGCGGTGCCGCGGGTCTGCGGGGACCGGGGGGCGGCCCTGGGGAGCCTCAGGGAATCCATGGGAAAATATGGGGTCTGGGTATGGCTCAAGAGTCTGGTTCTGAATTTTCGTCAGAATCAGCTTGAGTGCATCAAACTGAGCCATAATCTCAGAGTACTGAGATGGGATGTTGGAGTTGGGTCATGACCAACTCCACTGGTGCCTTGGGAAGTTCACTGCACGACCAATTCATTTGTGGTTCCCTTGAAATTTTGACCCCGCCAGACCCCATCTGGCAGCCATGAAATTGGCTGGGAACCACTTTTCTTTATTTTTGGGGAGCACTGTAGAGATTTTGTTTGAAGCAATAATTAGATCAGGAGGGGGCCTGTTGTGAGCGGCAGAAAATGAGGGTAATGAGCGAAAATGACAACAAATCCTCGATGATATTGACCCCGGTGGCAGTGAGACAGACCAGACTGTTGCAATGCCACATGGGTATGTCTGAAAATAGGGTATATTCCCAATTATAGCCATTTAGTAGGGATAATGATCAGCAAAACCATTGGGTGTAGGGGTTTTCTCTATTTTCAGACACACCCACATCGCTTTTGCGAAGACACGTGGCCAAAAAGGGATAGCCTACATTCAGAACGAATGGATTTCGTCATAGTGCCCAAAAGCTTGAAATCCAAGGCTCACACCAGACCTTTCCGATAGATTAAGGGTCATTACAAACCAACTTTACTCAATGGGAATTTCAGGATCCTAAAATGGAGGTACGTTAGTACCATATTTCTGGCCATATTTTGTGGGGATATTCCCTGAAATTTAGGCCTTATATAGGCCTTATATCTGGTAGGTACCTCCAATCAATCGGTTCCTGTTGCATTAACTAACAGGGACTCCGAGCCAGCAAGTCCTTGGTTCAAGTAGATCATGGTCGCTGACGGCTGCCACGGTTGCCTATATTATATACATATGATACATTATGATACACTAGCAGTATATGACATATACATACATATAAGTATATATAATTATACATACATATATAATTATACATAAATATAGATATTTTTTACGTAACATATATAATTATACATAAAATATATAATTATACATAAAATATACAATTGTACATAAAATATATCATTATACATACATATATAATTATACATAAAATATATAATTATACATAAACTATATACTTTTACATAAAATATATACTTTTACATAAAATATATAATTATACTACTATATATATATACCATATACTGTATAATATATATACTATCTCATAGAGGTATGATTTTTTCAGCCCGAATGACTTCCGCGGCTCCGCGCAGGTCCCTCCGACCCCAAAGCCGCCGGTTCCTCAGAGTGACGTCTCGGCGACGCCAGAGACGGCGGGCGACGCCATGGAACGCCTGGCGGAGCTGCAAGGTGCCATGGGAACGGTTCAAAAATCATGGGGAAAACCATGGAAACATATGGAAAAACAATGGGAAAACTATGGAAACATATGGAAAACCATGGAACATGTGGAACATATGTGTTTTGTTGTTTTTTGATGATGAACGATGTTGGAAAAATATGGAAGCCCATGGAAAATATGGGAAAAGATATGGGAACCACATCAAATGTTGGAACAACACGGGAAAAGATATGGGAAACGGATGGGAACTTGGAGAATGATGGAAACACATAGGTAGAATATGATGAACTTTACCGTGAACCTGCTTGGATAACCAGTCTTGCCGGATCGCCTTCAGTTGGCATTGCATTTCTTTCATAAATAGAGCAATTCCCCCCTACATGTTCTCAAAAGATATATATATACACACTATATATATATATATACACGCTATATATATATATGTACACTATATATATACACAATTATACACGACATATATATATATATACACACTATATATATATATACACGCTATATATATATATGTACACTATATATATATACACAATTATACACGACATATATATATATACACGCTATATATATGTATATATATATATATACACTATATATATATATACACACTGTATACATATACACTATATATATATACACACTATTACACACTATATATATATATATACACATACATATATATATATTGTATGTATGTCGGCTGAGACAACCGACCAGCAATTGCTGGACAGGTGAATGTCACAGACTGAAGGAAGAACTTCAGCGACTGGGACTGCGTTTTTCTCTCCGGTAGCGAGACTCTCCGGTAGCACGGAGCTAATAGTGGTTAATCATGGTTAATGATTGGTAATGATTAATGATGGTTGATGGTTAATGATGGTTAATAACAACATGATTATATGAAGACCCATGTCCTATATTCAGAATTTTGGGTTAAGTCGTTTTCACCTCATTTTATCGTGAGAAAACTGGCAATTCAGAATGATAAGCCATGTGCCCTCTGGAAGTCTAGCAGTTTGCAAATCACCATTTTTGAGAGGTACTCCGGTACTGCAAATCATCTGCAAACAGGTGATGTAAGAATCTATGAGATGATCAAGCCAGACCATGCAAACTCACATCATCTATGGATTTCCAAGAAATGATGATCAAACCAATTTCAATTCAGCATCCAGACCCAGACTCAAGCAGAGCTTAACTCTTCTGCCAACTCAACGTCTATAAGGTGGTGGCCCCTGGATATAACTCGGTTGAGTTTCACGCAACTGACTGTTCGAGCTAGTACAAAAAGGCCAGTTCTGTATATTTATTTCAAGCAACTTCGCCATCGTTCGGGGGCCACACTTCGAGCGGTGTTTCGTGCCGTCACTGCGTCTTAGGCAGTGCAAGCAGCGCGCCAGCGCTGATGCGCGGCGTGAGATCGCGCTGCGAGAGGAGAGGGAAACGCTGCAAAAGGAGGTCTTGAAGCTGCAGGAGGAGCCAATTGAGCCATCAAACCATAGGGAGAGCCATCTATTCATAGGGATGAACAAAGGGATTTGTAGGGGTCCATGAGGTTTTTTTTTGGATGGGGATTAAACCAACCATGTGGGAAATGGGAAGGGGTTTATAGTCTATCCAGAGATTAGGAGAGGCTCAAAGTCCATTCGTCCCAGCATGTAGCCCCCGCATCAACAGAAGATGGACAATGACTATGCCCGTTGACACCAGGTACATTGTTATCCCTATCTGGGACCAGAATGCAGCTCTCTGGCAGCATTGTTACTGCAATTTGATGCTTCAGTTGCATTCGGTGTTTCTGCAGTTGCCGTTCACTACTTCGATTGTGCATCAACCAAGGGTTTCCAACATGCCAGTGGTTTATGTGGCAATGGCTCAGATGACCATGTGCCAGACTCTCCTGCCTTGACTTCAAGGCTTGACCTGCACCCGGCTCCAAGACGTTGCTTTCAAGTGATGTGTGATAGACGGTGATAAACTAGAACAGATCCAAAGGCATGACTCAGACAAGCTTTGCGCACCTGTCCCCCGTGGTGGCAGCGTGTGTGAGCCTTCTGAGCATGATGATTTTGAAAGCGCACTTCTTGCATATTCAATGAAAGTTTTTGGGGCCTCTTCGACCGCCAGTGATTTGCAAGTTGATTGGAGCTCAGACGGCCTTGGCTTCATCAATCCCGGAGACGCTGTTCCTTCAGCATAGCTGGCCTGTTCCGGGTGGGTGAGCGGGTGGCTCCCCAGCAAAGACCCAAAAGCTGAATGGGCTATTCGGTATTGTTATATCAACCCTGTCCACTTCTTCGGGCGATATGGCCTGGAGCTTGAGGATGGTAAGCAGATAGCAGTGAGACCATGCAATATGAGACGATGTTTGGCCACAAGGACCAACAATCGCAGCTTGGAAAAGGGGATGAAAGTGCCACATTCGCCGGGCAATGCCAACATAGAGGAACCTTCGGTGACGTGGTTCAAGTCGGTCTCAAGCAGACAGTGCTGAATAGGCAAGCCGGCTGCATCATTTCTGACAAGATGGCTTATACTCGGTATGGAGCCCGTTTACGAACTGGCCGCAGTGTAGCCGTGCGGTTTCAGAACTTGATTTTTTCATCGGCAAGCAATGCGCAGCGCGACATGGAGGCGCATTTCAAATGTCAAGTGCAGCCCTTCAGATTTCCACCGAATTCAGCGAGGCCCGAGAAACGAGGAGGAGTCAGATGAGGAACCATGATTTTAACTTGCAGGCTTGCCTGTGACCCTTGATGTTCGGTATTGGCTGTCTCACGACCGCCGTCAGGTAATCATGATTCTTTACCCGTACCCCTTGGCGGCAGAGCCTTTGGCTGGCCAAGGTCGATTTCATATGCTGTCCCAAGATGGCATCGTCGTACCGATTGGTGCTGGCAGTACAGCAACTGACTGCCTGCATCCCCAAGTCGGGGTATCCATATTCCCTTCGTCTCAAGAAATTCCATGCTTGGATCCCACTGTGCCGCAACCCTCTGGTGATTTCGATTGAGCCGTGAAAAACATCCCCACTTGATCCCTTTTTACTGGATTAGTTCATAATCCCCCCATCAGCCAGTTAGTAAAACTCTCAACAAATTACCCCATCAACAGGATTCTTTTAATCTCTTGGTTTGGGTTACCAAACCCTCGTGCCTTACTGCTCTGGGGCCTGGCACACACCTCGTGCCCAAAAGTCGAGATCGGTTCGAAAAGTCTTCCGCCTGGCTCTTTGACCGCCAGCATTGTCAGTCCTTCGCGCCCGGCCCTTGCGGTCGTCGCACTAGCTAGCTCTGATATCAGGCTTCCTTGGAAATGCGGCACGGTTGTGCCTGTTGTGGCCATCTCTCGATCTAGCTTTGGTGAATTACAATGTGGTCTCGATTGATGCGGCTGCTGACCACATCGTGGGGGGGCAAATTTGACACCTCTGTTCTGCCTGACGTTGGCGGCGTATGGCATCTTGCGCTCCCATTGGGACCGGTACCGCTACCGACTGACTGTTGATGCGCGTTTAGGCGGCAAGGCACCATTGCGGTTTCACCCGTTTGAGCGGGCGCCTCGCCCCGTATTCAAGGCCTGTTGGGTCCCTATGGCGAAGAAATCTTCTTTCCGAATTCATTCTTTCATTCAACAGGTATTTTGACTACAGTATGGTCTGGTTGGGAAACTCTTAGTAGCTCTATATACAGCGCAGTGCATACCAGGTTTAGTACTTGCATACTGTGATTCACATTGTTCTGGAAACTTCACACACCTGCGGCCGTGTCTGTGACATGGGGAGTTCATGGGTTTACCACGTCCTTTGGGGGAAGTTCTGTCATCACCAGATGATTCAATTCCACTGCCAGGTGTTGGTTTGGTTGGCCTCTCTGAATTGTAGCTCCTTCTTTGAGAACTATGGTTCCCTCCGGCAATCAAACATGGCAATGTAAAATCCCATGATTTGTAGTTGATTTCTCATTAGAATTCCATTTGTAAGGGATGTCCCAGCCAGCCATGTGATTTGATATGTAATCTGGAATCATACCCAGATGTGCCAAATTCAACAACAGCTGAGGGCTCCAAATGCTTGATCATACCAAGAAACAGGGATTTTGATAGGTTTTGATGGATTTTTTGGATGGATCCTTAGACGGAAATTAGATGGATTTCGATGGGTTTTGACGGATATTCGGCGATAAATTTTTGGACGTTTTTTTTGCGTGTTTTTTGAACATCCATGGGTCAGTCAATCTGGGTCACTTCTGACTTTTGGCCTCCAACTGTGCTGACCACGAGGAGCGGGACAAGGCCGACAAGGCGGATAAGGCGAATGCGACGAAGTGCGATAGATTGCAGCAGGAGATGCAGGTGTTGGAGGAGGAACGGATGGCCATTTGTTGGGCAAATGGAGCACCGGAGGAGTTGGGATTCCGCAGGATTTAATTCAATAAGTGGGAAATTGTTTAATCATTCAAAGACTCATCGAGTGAAACATTTCACTTCCCCAGGGTTTATCCCACTTGATTGATCTTCATCGAATTTTCACCATGAATAATAGATCACTGGTCGTTGGTTTTCTTTTACCCTTCATTTTCAAAGAGGATCCCAACTGACATTCGCGTACATATTTGTGGGTGGAGACCATCAACCAGATGAAATCTTCATTAGGACTCATGAGGTTGTTTTGCGTTCGGAAAATGGTCTGCACATGGTGGATTTTCCGTATCTATTCGTATTTGGTGGGTGTATTGAAATGATAGCATCAGATACTCAACATATGTGACCATTACATATCCTACACCCCCAGGTCAATGGAATCGGCATTTTCGGTGAATCCATCATTTTCGGCTGAGTTGAGAGATTGTATCTATCGTAAAATTAAGATCTTCTGTCCCAATTTTGACAGAGACAATGGCAACATGCTTGAAATTTCACCCCAATAGAGTAAAGGATTGGATCCTTTTGAAAACTTTGATATTTTTGATTTTCTTGTTCTCTCTAGTTCCTTGTTGCCTGGTGATTTTTGCTGAGGCTTTCCCATTTTTTCGCATGCATGTATATTGCTACATAATTAAGTATGTAAATATATATATATGATAATATAGATATTATGCGCATATTATGTGCCTTTGCTGCTGGCCGGCCTCATGGGAAGAACGCCTCCAAGAGACAACTTAGGTCGCTTATGGGCCTTTTTTTCAGTGTCCCACTATCCGGGCATATCTGGGCTTAGTGTCCCACTATCCGGGCATATCCGCGCTTAGCCCCAAAGCCTGAGACCCCGCAGCAAGGAGCGCGCGAAGGCGCTGGCGAACAGTGAGAGGTTGCAGGTGGAAATGCAGACGTTGCAGGAGGATGGACGGTTTTCAGATGGGCATTTGGGGCCCAATTTGGGGGTTGTTGTCTAATAATATCCGATGTCCATATGATGGGACCTTATCAATCCTCCTTGCCATTTCCTCCACAGAATGGTCAGGGTTGACCCCCCCATAAAGCTACCATTCTGTGGAAAATGAGTCCTTAAAATGATGTCACAGATACCATTATGTAGTAATTAGTCGATTTTAGCTGGTTTATCGTCTTTATTTTGAAGGCATGATCATTTTTTGGCACCACAGCAAACCATTCTGCAACAGACAAAAAGCCATTTTGTAGAGGTTTTTTAAGGGTATGTTTTGGTGGTTAAAAGAAAATGTGAATTAGCCATTGACAAAGAAAAAGATGGTAGCCATTCTATAGAGAACCCACCGTTTCAATACATGTACCATTTTATAAGATTTTATAAGTGTATATTTGTGTTTGCAGCGGTGGGCTCAGAAAGCTATAGGAAATTAAAATTTCCCTTCCACCAAAAATAGCCTTCACGTGTTTGGTGCTCTTCGCACATTCCGTGCTGGCTGGCTTTGGTGCTCCTGCTGCTGTGCTGAACAAGAAAGGTGCCACGCTACCACGAAAGGTGCCACGGCCCACCGCAATTCTTCTGACGAACATCCTTTCCGCTGCTTTGGGACCGTTTTTGTGACTTCCAATGCAAAAAGCTTTCATGTGCAGAAGGATTGCCAGGACATTGCTGGCAAAAAAATGTCTACATTCTCATGCTGCAAAAGTTGCATGAAACAGTTTCCTTCCACCTCCGAAAAGGATGAATGACGATGCAATACAGGTGAAAACCCTACAAAATGGCTTTGGGAAAAAGGCAGTTGACGCTGAGTTCTTGACGAGATAGATGCTTTACAAACTGGCTCTGTTTTTTTATACTTTTTATAAAACCATGATTGCGCTGGTTTGATTTCACAAAATTGTCATAATGGTTGTGGATCAAAATTATCCAATGCAGTTGACAGGCAATACCATTTCGTAGGGCCAGGGTTTATGGACATACCATTTTGTAGGGAACGGGTGCCACAACCATTTTGTAGAGCAAAAGGCTAGATCTCTACAATATGGTCCACTGCAACCCCACCCATGGAATGGCAAGGGGGATAATTGGTATTCATAAGTCCAACCGACGTTTTATGTAGCTTTTCTGGACCCCAGTGAGCAGACCAGACCGAAGAATAGAGTTTGGAAACCCCAAACCCAAAAAGACCGAACTGCGCAGTTTTTCATCTTGGCCCATTCCCACATGCTTTCGGACATGATTTTTGACTTCAATATATGGTTCCAAATAGATAGAACCAGTTGCACCCCACACTTTCAACCTGTCAAACAAATCATGCTGGGAGACCGACAATGGGTGACAGGTTAAGGCACCGTGATACTTGATAAGTTCCATCTTAAAAAATACAAGGGAGTATGTGGACCAGCATTAAAAACGGATTTCTGCGACTTAAGAAAGCATCCCTTTTCCAAGGTTTCCCCCATGAGGCTTGTTGAGTTTTGACCATCTTGGGACGCCCACGAAGCGAAACCCCACATGGACGTGGAGGAGTTTGCCCGTCTGACAGCTGCGCACGGCAGCGGCCTGGATGCAGTGGAGCGGCAACTGGAGGAGGAACGGCGACTGCGGGAGGAGTGCGCCAGAGCGATTCGTGACTTGGCGGTTTCCTAAAATAGTGGTACCCCCAAATCATACATTTTAGTAGGATTTTCCATATAAACAATCCATTTTAGGGTACCCTGATTTATGGAAAGCCCCATATCAAACATGACACCACTGTTGGTTGAAAAGAAGTGGGGGGCATTGTTTCGGGGCTATACTATCCAACTTTTTGGGGATGCTTATTGTATGGGGTTATACGATCTGGTTACTATCCTTGATACATATGGGGATATCATTGATAATTGATGGTTGCCAGTACCTGAGTGGCGGGTAAGCCATTGTTGGTTGATGATTGATGACGGGTTTATACTCTCTTTGATATATTGGAGAGTATCGCAATCCATGACCTGAGGAATTCGTTCTTAACCAACCAGTTTAAAGGGACGAGTCATTTCGGCTTTGAACACCGCTGAACGGAGTCTAGCTGGATCGTTGGGAAGATCACAATCATGGAATATCTGAAATATCTTTGAGGAGTACAAGGGAATAGTTAAAATGAAGAGGAACCATCCATAGAGATTTAAATCTGATCGCTTTGGCTTTGAACACGGACCAAGCCAAAATGGGATTTTTCTAACAGTATTAGGGTATAATCTGGTATAATATGAAACATAATTCGTCAGCTGTTGAACTGGGTTGAACTGGGTTTAACTCGGTTGAAGCATAAACGGTTTTCGTATGAGAACAGTGACCAAAGTACGACACGGCAGATTTAGATACAAGGTTTATATGTTCTATCTAGTTAGATATGAAGTACCAGAAGCATCTATAACCCACAATGATAGGTTTTAAAACAACTGGGACTATACACGAAATGATAGTGAATATCCATCCCCACTAGTAGTGGTTTGTGATTGGGTACTGTACTAACCATGTAATTAATCAGGAACATATGAAATCTCGTGGTTCGTCAGAAACTGGGTTTAGAATGGAATATGTTATGGGATTAATATTGATTAATGGCATAAAGCGTGGAATATATGACATACAACGGGTTTAAGTGAGTTGAATGGTTTAACCTACCTTTTATGTCAGCAACAATTTTGATTTTGATAAATCAGGCTGCTTTATGGTGTCATGAAATATGGGCTTGTACTAGCTGTTTTATTGAGATTTCCTGTAGAACAGTGATCACTCCGAGAAACTGGGGAACCGCGACTCAAATTCCATGTGGGCCAAGTGCGACATGATTCTGCCATTGTTACCACATCATGCAGACAAGCTTCCTCCATCAGATCTACGCGATGATTTTTTCCCGTGTTTTCGTTCATCATGTAACGATGAAACGTGATGAAACTATTCAATGACCAGACCAAGGTTTTCTCCTAATTGACCCTAGAAAATGGAGTGGTGATAAATCATGTAACTGATTAACTGATGGCTGGTTTTGCTCGTGATCGTGTACGATAGCGGCCCTTACTTCCTCGGTCAACCCTGGATGGGTAGTTGCTGAATACAGCACTTAATCTTGGACCATAAACGGATAAAACGGGTAATCAACTGAAGTCGTGATTTTTTGCAGGATATTTGCAAGGGGTTGAGTACCCCATACTTATCTATGGGTTAACCATGGTGAATGTTGACAAATATACCCACAGTATTCCGTAGTTAGATGGGTTTATATAAACGAACTTCCAACTAACTGGGGGTCAGCGCCGTGAATCATTGGCCTTCAATCTTAAATCTCAACTTGAATTTGAACATACCTCTGGAGCCCCAAGTCCAACACCCTGAAGTAGCAAGGGGCTCTAGGTTGAACTCCTCTGTTCACTATGATAGGTCAAGAACAGGATTCCCAGTTCATGGATTATGAATGATTGTCATAATCCCCAGTATTAACAACTGGAAATCGCAATTATAAAATTGATTAACATATGATAGTCATATCCTTTATGATTATGAATGATGATCATAATCCCCAGTATTAACATCCATGAACTGGGTATTATCATGGTCATTGTCTAATATCATAATATACAATCTGAGTTATAATCATTTATGAATAGTTCAGTATTAACGACTGGAAATCGTAATTATATGTAATTCTGATATTGATTAACACATGCTAGTCATATCCTTTATGATTATGAACGGTTATGATAATCCCCAGTATTGACAATTGGATATAGTAATTATGATATTGGTTGACATATGATAGTCATATCCTTTTATGATTGTGATTTTCTATGATAACCCCTGTATTAACAACTGGAAATGATAATTATATATAGTTATGATATTGATTAACATATGATAGTCATATCCTTTTTGATTATGAATGATTATGTTAATGGGCATTTTACAAAAGGTAGATTAACAAACCCCGAAATCGTCAACTAACCATGAAAAAATCACTTCCCAGAGTCCCAGAGGTTTGATTTGCAAAGTTTGATAGTGGCCATTTCAGGAACCTAACTTGGAGGTATCATATATACATATAAGGTCTATGTACGGACTATTTAAGGATTGAGTGGCAAAGTTTGATATTGATTTTAAAAGTTTGATATTGAATTAAAAATGAGTATCAAGTCAAACCAAATTGGATATACTATGATATACTGATTTGATTTATCACTCGTTCATCAACAAAAAAAACATCGCTCCCGGGTCAGGTTCGGAGTGCGCGGCAGCAGCAGAGATCCTCAAGCACACCGAGGTCGCGCACGCGGCGATCGCCGTGGAGCGAAAAAAAATGGTCGGGACTTGATCTTGGCCGAAACAAACAGTTGGGAAAGATGCGAAAAACCAGTGTTGCAGAGCTATGACTTGATGATTTGTATTTATACATATATATATATATATTACATTACATTTACATCACATTACATTACATATTTAGCAAGCTCTTCTTTCCAAAACAATAGGATATCAGGTGTTTCCACAGAGTGGCTTTTTTCATGGGGGAAGATCTTCGAAGATCTTCGTTCTGCGCCAGGAGTCTGATAGACAGACGGACGTCTCCAACACGGAGGTCTGATTTTGCTGGGAAGCGAATGAGATCTTTTGAGGTGAACATTGTTCAAAAGCCTTGTTGGTTGTTGGATTGGTTTAAGGGAAAATTGGAACCGGAAAACCCCATGATCTTCATGGGAAAATACCTATGGTTTCCGGTTAAGATTTTCCCGACTAAACCAATCCATTGATTGTTGGTTGATGGTTATAGTCATGGATTAAATTATATAATAGTGGTCTTATAGTATGGTGATTATAGTATGGTGATTACTTTTATCATTATTGTATAGTGATTATAGTAATTATATATTTATATTAACACATATATTGGGGATTATCATAATCCATCATGATCCTTTAGAGGAATCCTCACTTATTAACACATATAATGAAATGACAGAGGGTTTTGAACGTTGCTTAGATGGTGAAATGGAGGATGATTGGGATGTACTGGAGATAAGTGAAATATGATGAAATATGTACGTATATATCTGAATGATTCTGAATTTGATCATGACCTGACATCGTGACGTCACTGGAATGATGATTAGTGAGGGGAATCATCCCCAAATTGCTGCAAGATTCAACTACTTTCAGAGTTGCAGTGCAGCTGTTCAGGTCCTGAGCTCCAATGCCTCGCCGAAGCCACCACCCGCCGTGGCACTGGCTGGTGCCGCGCCGGTGTCAGCGCCGGTGTCAGCACCGGCAGAGGCGGGGGCGGCGATGATGATTCAGCTAGCGCCCTGGAAATCGGAGACCTCGATGAACTCCAAAGTGGTGGAGCTGGAAGAGGAACTGGAGAGAAACTTGGTGGATTTTTGTTGAGTTTTTTCGTCTTTACCCAGCAATTGATGCATATTGGGAACATATAGTGGAAATTAGAATATGTGTATACATATAATCCAATTGAATGTATGTATATATATATATATATACACTGGTAGGACAAAAGTTGCGCTTGTTGAGTTTCCGACAGTGAACATGTTTGACTTCTTCTGCAATCCTTTTGCATAGAATTGTAGCATAGAGCTTTGTCGTACCCTGGTCGAAGCTTTTAAATCTTATATATTTAAAAGATGGTGATAATTGATCGTCCCACACCTGCCACACAAAACCGACTTGAACATGTGATCCGCAGTTGACTGAGATGGATGTTTTGTAAAGCTTCAAGAAGCATAAACTTTGTTCATCCTGAAGGGTACAAAAAGCTTATTTAGTGGGAATTGCAAAGTCATCTGATTATTTTTACTCGTGCTTCAGCTTGGTCATTACTCCACATAACATGTCTGTCTCCATCCTCTGTGTCTGCACTGCTACACATCTGCCGTGACGCAGGGTACAAAAAGCTTATTTAGTGGGAATTGCAAAGTAATCTGCTGATTTTTGCATGTGCTTCAGCTTGGTCATTACTCCGCATAACATGTGTCTGTCTCCATCCTCTCTGTCTGCACTGCTACACATGTGCCGTGACGCAGGGTACAAAAAGCTTATTTAGTGGGAATTGCCAAGTCATCTGCTGATTTTTGCACGTGCTTCAGCTTGGCCATTACTTGTCTCCATCGTCTCTGTCTGCACTGCTACACATGTGCCGAGACGCACTGGTAGGACGAAAGTTGCGCTTGTTGACTGGTGAACATGTTTGGTTTCTTCTCCTGAAATCCTTTTTGCGTAGAATTGAAGCATGGAGCTTTGTCGTACCCCGGTCGCATTTCCACCCTCCAAAACCTTTAAAATCTTCAAAAATACAAGAGGGTGATAATTGATCGTCCCACACCTGCCACACAAAACCGACTTGAACATGTGATCCGCAGTTGACTGAGATGGATGTTTTGTAAAGCTTCCAAGAAACATAAACTTTGTTCCTCCGGAAGTATATATATATATAATAAATTTTATGTGCATAACATGGAGCTATTTATTGTATAAATAAGCCGCTACATATTGTTGCCTATCCCTTTCCCGCAGAAGCCCTGGTGCAACAGAGGATCTGATTTTTTTGGGGCTCCCGATGAACATAGGCATCGATTTTGAGGTAATTTTCATGATTGAACCATGGAATCTTCATTCAACATGTGGCAAATTAATATTTGGAATTTAATATTTAGTTTAACCTTGGAATTGCCTATAGCTTCACATAGCTTAACATAGCTGAACCATAATTTAACCATGGAATTTTGAGGTATTTGTACCCTTCGGTAATCACACATGGCAATGGGACATCCCCTAGTTGAGAAATTCATGTGTAAATTAAACGCAGATTTTCCAGCACGCCATGTTTGAGGACACCGGATAGATGAATAAATCCAGATTATTATTTTGGATTAACGATTCCATTTTATTGCTGTTATATATTCTTAAATAATAGGATATTTTACACTGCTATCATGAATCCATTTCCATTCCCATTCACCCAGATATATCTAAACCGGCTCTTGCCCTTGGGCCCCTTGGGCTCTGAGGACTGCGGAAGGAACTACAAAAATATCAAAAGGCCGACCGCAGGAGCTCACCCGAAAAATGATGGGAAGTAGGTCAAAGCATCGCAATGAACACGAATTTCAACTTCTTTTGGGAATATGACAAAATTTGCCAACTTAACCATACTTAACCATCTTAACCTTATTTTAGGTGTCTTTTCCCCTTTCGTTTTTTGTTGGAGTTTGCATGTTGGTTGACATCTGGGGCCTGGTTTAGGACCCCGGGCGTGTTGTACGTGGCATGTTGTCAATATGGCTATATATTGCAGATATGGCTGTGGTATGATGTTGTCGCCCCATTTGGACCAAATTTTGGACACAAAATCAAAAGTAGACATTGAGTAACATTCATCTCGAAGGCAGGTTGACATGACACAAACAATGCCGTCTCACAGTCCCCAGCTCTGTTAAAGAGCCCCCCCATATCAACCAAAATGGCAAACGCATGATGTGATTTTGCGGTCCTCTACGAATTTTAAACCACCCATAGATATTCAAAACATATATATATATATATATACGTGCATATTTATATTTACACACACTGTATATATATATATGTATATATAGAATGGGCTAGCGCCCTGGTGCCGCCGACCCCCCCTATTTGGGGGGTCCTGTAGAGAGAGGGAGAGAGAGAGAGGGAGAAAGATAGATAGATAGATAGATAGATAGATAGATAGATAGATAGATAGATAGATAGATAGATAGATGGCTAGACAGATAGATAGATAGATAGATAGCTAGCTAGATAGATAGATAGATAGATACTCAGAAAAAGAGAGAGAAAGAGAGGAGACCTTAAGCACCTTTCGGTCCATGAGTGGATTCGCTCTGCCATCCCGGATTCACAACAGCCAAGCTCTCCTATAGGTTTCCTATTTTTGAAACTTCCGCCACCAAGAAGCCATTGATGTGTGGCCTTGGGGTGCCTGTTGGCTGCAGGATGAAGCATGCCAAGGGAATGTTTAAGCGATGGCATTTAGGGCTGGCAAACGGCAGGCTTGGACGCCCATAAGAAGCCATTGATGTGTGGCCTTGGGGTGCCTGTTGGCTGCAGGATGAAACATGCCAAGGGAATGTTTAAGCGATGTGGCCTTGGGGCAGCGCCATTGCCTGCACGGTTCGGCGTTCCGAGCAGCTTTTGCACAGTTTGCAGGGTTTTAAGGGTTTTAAGGGTAAGCGTTTAAGGCCTGGCAAACGGCAGGCTTGGACCCCCATGACGGGTTGTAAGGGTTTTAAGCCTTTTGAGGGTTTTGAAAGGTTTTAAGGGTTTAAGGGCTGGCAAACGGCAGGCTTGGACGCCCATAAGAAGCCATTGATGTGTGGCCTTGGGGTGCCTGTTGGCTGCAGGATGAAGCATGCCAAGGGAATGTTTAAGCGATGTGGCCTTGGGGCAACGCTATTGCCTGCACGGTTCGGCGTTCCGAGCAGCTTTTGCACAGTTTGCAGTGTTTTAAGGGTTTTAAGGGTAAGCGTTTGAGGCCTGGCAAACGGCAGGCTTGGACCCCCATTACGGTTGTAAGGGTTTTCAGGGTTTTGAGGGTTTTTAAGCGTTTTAAGGGTTTAAGGGCTGGCAAACGGCAGGCTTGGACGCCCATAAGAAGCCATTGATGTGTGGCCTTGGGGTGCCTGTTGGCTGCAGGATGAAGCATGCCAAGGGAATGTTTAAGCGATGGCATTTAGGGCTGGCAAACGGCAGGCTTGGACGCCCATAAGAAGCCATTGATGTGTGGCCTTGGGGTGCCTGTTGGCTGCAGGATGAAGCATGCCAAGGGAATGTTTAAGCGATGTGGCCTTGGGGCAACGCTATTGCCTGCACGGTTCGGCGTTCCGAGCAGCTTTTGCACAGTTTGCAGTGTTTTAAGGGTTTTAAGGGTAAGCGTTTGAGGCCTGGCAAACGGCAGGCTTGGACCCCCATTACGGGTTGTAAAGGTTTTAAGGGTTTTGAGGGTTTTTAAGGGTTTTAAGGGTTTAAGGGCTGGCAAACGGCAGGCTTGGACGCCCATAAGAAGCCATTGATGTGTGGCCTTGGGGTGCCTGTTGGCTGCAGGATGAAGCATGCCAAGGGAATGTTTAAGCGATGGCATTTAGGGCTGGCAAACGGCCTTGGAAAGCTAAGAAGGAGAAGTTCCACACCTGCGGTGGTCCCAGGCGCCGCCCCTGCCTTGGCCAAGGCCGGGGTCGGCGGATATATGCATATCATATATAAGTATATATCATATATATATATATGATATATGTATATATATATATCATATATATATATCATATATATATATATGTATGTATGTCAATATTGTACATTTGATATATGTATATATACATATGTATTTGTAGTGAATATTTAGATATCAAAGCGCCCCCAAAAAAACAGTAAAAATCCAATTCCAACAATAAAAGTCGCCATCCGACATTTTTGTGTTTTTTGGTATACATTCTTTTGTTCCAGTTCCAAATTTCTATGCATTCTATTTTTTGGTAATTTAACGTGGTGAACTGGAAAATCACCAGTTTGAATAAGTAAATCACCATGGTTATCGTCAATAAACGGGCAATGGTTTCCACAGCAAATTGTAACACATTTCCGGAGGGTATTGTTTTAGGGTTATATAGATATTTTTCGAACAAACGGAAAATATTCCAAGATAACATAATATATTATCTCTGTTCTATACTATAGTTCTTGGGAGTTTTATGTGATATATATAAATGTTATATAATCATATTTTTTGTGTATTAAAAAATAATATAGAATATATATATATATATATGCCCAAAATTGAAAAATGTTATATAACTTAGTTATATATGATATTCAATTACAGAATGTGTATCAGTCATGTTGCATCCATTGCCAGGCCGATTCCGAGTCCAGCTGGTCCAAGGCTGGGAAGGGCGTTTTCTATTGTTCTTTACCATGTTAAACCAGTTAAATCCCATGAAATCTTGTTATTTTTTTAACCATGTTATATAATTCCAATCTGGGACATTGTTTTTTTCCTTTTTTTTCCTTTGTTTATTTTGTTTTTTTTTGGAATGCACCAAAGTGATAGGCTATTATTTGAACCATGAACCCATCTTGAGGTGGATGACATTTATTTTTGGAAACTGCACTTGCTGGGGTTCCATGTTGAAGTCTGACCGCGGGGATTTTTGAATGAACAAAGGATACATGTACATATGAGGAAACTCTCTCTCTCTCTCTCTTTCTGATCTATCTACTAATCAATTTCCAACCCAAATCCAAATCCAATCTATCTACCCCTCTCGTTCTCGACACGTATGTATATGTAGTATACACACATACATACATGTCTATGCACCTGGAATCTAAGGGATCCCAAGAATCATTCCTCTCTGCCAGGTCATCAACAGTTTCATGTGCACCAGTCGATGACACGAGCCCGTGAACATGTGCCACAAGTTCTGTAAAAGAATACCGTTGATTGGTTATTCAATGGGGGTTCGATCATCATAGAGATTTTGACATATCTTCGCTGTTTTAACACGTAAAATAACGGGAATCGTAAGAGCAACAGTCCGATTTTCCCAAGAGGGCCTCAACAGTTTTTTTTGTTTGGTGAAAACTGAAAACTAAGAAATTAACCAGATAGGGGGGTATACTACGTGGGCCATTGGAGAAGAAATTAGAAATTAAAAACATGAAATGGAAAGTCCTATCAACACTTCTCAAATGGGTACGGTTCAAAATGATTGACCGGGTCATGGATGGTTTCACATTTCAAATTTTCAAAATATATAGATCAAGACACCTTTCAATTTTCATACATAGTTTACTCCCTAAGCGTCAGGTCAACCCTGGTTAATAAACCCTAGTTGAGTAAAAATCTGGGAGGTCACTTAAGATATAGTGAGAATTCACAATGAATCCTTGGTTGACATTTGGGTATGTCGGAAAAAAATTGGGAAACCCCATTATAGAATCATTTTTCCTTTTCGAGTAGGAATCTTTGGGGTATATGCACCAGTTTCAGACAGACCCATGTATAGCACTGGAAATCGACACAGCAAAATCGAACGAAGATGGCACCGCAAACGTCGAAGATCTAGTTCCATTCCCCGACCGTGACAGGGAACCTGTTCACCAGGGGTAGATGATCCGTTCCTGGAACCCTAAACAAGTCTGAATGGATGTATAAGTACGTAATATCATTTTATATCTATATTTATATATTTGATTTTAGTCGGCTGCCAGCACAGTGCATGACAGCACGGGCGAACAGACCCATCAGCTGCAGAATGAAAATGAAAAAAATATTTGATTTTACATCGATATCTATGTCTATACCTCCATCTATATCAAAATATTATATATATATATATATCATCGTTTTAAATGTGAATATAATGGAATGCATGGAATCTGTTGCAAGAACTTGTACATGTGGTGATTTGTTTTGGGGTCCAGTTTAACCACGGCAGTCCAAAATGCAGAGGGAATCAACAATGTTGCCATCGGCAAGTCTTGAAGTCCGCAATATTTGGGCTGCTTGTGACCATCATATAGCCAATTTACTCAGCTCTGAATCGCAATGCGAATCTGAATCAGGATGCCCTGGTCGCCTGGTTTCCTGCCATGCGCCAAAGGTGCATGGCAGACAATGGAGGGTCGCAATGAGTAGCATGGTGTGTTAACGTATTTCTTGACCTGCGATTCTGCATTGCATGTTTCGGAATCATATCTATTGTCAGCAATGAACCATGAATTTTCAATGAATTAACCATGATTAATGGTTATTATCAATGGATTTTCAATGAACTCATTTTTTTCAGGTCAGTGAATTTAGCCGTGGCTTTTTTTATCCCAGATGTTTGCGCCATGGACTTGTGGACAGCAGTGACATAAGTTGGGTTGGAAATGTAGACACTGTGACTGGGTGATGAATTGCAACAATAAGTATGGGCTATGATGCAAAAACATCCATACTTAGTGTGGTTGCAATTCATAGCCCATACTTATTGGGCGTGGTTTTCCATACTTAAGTATGTGACTTAGTGTGGTTTTCTGTTTTTTTGAACCAACTGAAAAAACTGAGGGGCTCCAACATTGTGGGTATGATTAAATCGCATCCCCAAAAAGACGGCAGTCTGGGGAGAAATCCAGCTGAAGATGGCTTCGATGTGATTAACCCAATGCCATAAACAATCCCCAAAATCATCACAAATGGTTCGTTTTTTCACCATCCCCAGTTATGCTAGTTGTTTGTGGCAGGATTTCCCACATTGTATATACTCTATACATACTGTGTATATATATATATCTGTATTAAATTTCACGAGCTCCTGGGATTTTGTCATTTTTAGGGAATATTGGATATCAAGGTCAAGATGCAATATTTGGTGCAGGGTACGCGCACAAGGGTGGCACCAAAAAACTTAAGCGTCATGGTTTGGACGGGTTTGCACTGGATCATCCTTCCATAAATGGAATTGGTCCAATTAATCGTTCAGAAAAAATGAAACGGTCGGAAACGGTCGGAAACAGTCGGAAACGGTCGGAAACGGTCGGAAACATGATCAGGCCAAAACTTGTCCAACCCACATTTTTTTAAAAAGTAAGCATTTCCGCGCAACGCCGTTTTTTTTTTGAAGGTCCAAAGGCGTCCAAGGGGAAACGGTTGGAAACAGTCGGAGATCGCACCTTCGCTCGGCAAAAAAGTAGTTGTTTTGTAGCATATGTTCATGAAACATGTTTGAAAATTGTGCAAAAACATGTCTTTTTTGCCGAGCGAAGGTGCGATCTCCGACTGTTTCGACTGTTTCCAACCGTTTCCCCTTGGACGCCTTTGGACCTTCAAAAAAAAACGGCGTTGCGCGGAAATGCTTATTTTTTAAAAAATGCGGGTTGGACAAGTCTTGGCCTGATCATGTTTCCGACCGTTTCCGACCGTTTCCGACCGTTTCCGACTGTTTCCGACCGTTTCCGACCGTTTCATTTTTTCTGAACGATTAATTGGACCAATTCCATTTATGGAAGGCTGATCCAGCGCAAACCCGTGCAAACCATGACGCTTAAGTTTTTTGGTGCCACCCTTGTGCGCGTACACTGCACCAAATATTGCATCCTGACCTTGATATCCAATATTCCCTAAAAATGACAAAATCCCAGGAGCTCGTGAAATTTAATATATATCTGGGTAAATTATAACGACCTCTCTGCGACCTCACTGGAATCATGGTTAGTAAGGGAAATCATCCCCAAATGGCCTTAATTCAGGTTAGTGAATTATTATAATTTACCCATATATATATATATTTATGTATATATACACACATTTTTGGTCCCCCGGTGGCCATGGCAGTTCATCAGTTCATGACTTAAATCTTGCTGACCGTCCCTGCGCTCGACCAGCTGGCCAGCTCGACCAGATATCCTCAAAACGAGTTCTGCTGCGGGCAGATATGATGAGGGATACTGGTGGGATATGAGGGATAAAAGTGATATAATTAGTTGTATAACCAACACTACTTTTTTTTGCTGGTTGACGGTCATAATATAATACCGTAAGTAATTATTAATTATCAATAAAATGCAATAGTGATCATTGTAGTTCTTATTATTATTCTGATCCATCATGGCAATCTCTACATAGCAACAGGCACGAAAGGAACCACAGAGAATTTTGAGCACTGCCCACTTAGGCAAGACCAAAGGAACCCCAAAGATGGGATAGCTTTGACAGTTTCTCCAGTTTTGAACCATGCAATCCTGGGTAGCCTGCAGTACATTGACGTAGCTATTGAACATGGCCCATTTAGTTTGATGGTTTGCCTCTTGAAAATGGTGATTATCCATAGCTATGTTGAATTATCAGAGTGTAAATATGATGGATAATTTCCATTAATTTCCCATTTACATGCCATTTAGTTCTGGGATTTCCCAGCTAGCTAGCCATGGAGCTGACACGGGAGGGTTCGCATCATTCCTGGAGCTGCAGGGTTCTTTTTTTGGGGTAAAGTGTTTACATGCCCATCCTTTACTATGGTCATTTGATTGATTTACGGCAAAACTTACAGGAAACCGGAAACCCCCGACTTGATCCCCTATAATTGGCGGTAAAAAACAATCGTTTCAACCATAGATTTTCCCTTTCACCCATCCATTGATATGGGTTTGACTAAGAATAGGGATGAATAGGGCATAATTATACACACCCGAATCCCCTGTGGTCTAGCACATCATTTAACCCGTCCGTTCATATGGCCTGGTAAAGTATATTCGGCACACTGGATTTTGAATCACGTAAACATAGTTTCGTTATCTATTGGTGATATATCCCATTGATATCCCCTGTAATATTTATATGACTTGCCTGCGAGTGGTTCCAAGCAAAATTCACAGTGTCTTTGACAAAGGGGGCGAATTCTGAATGCGTGTCAGCCCGTAGTGTATCCCTAAGTCCATCCTTTTCAAGCGCCTTTCCATCCAGTACAGTTTGCGAACTGGAAGCCGTGGCCCATTGAATCATTGTAATTTCTTAAATGGTGATTTTCCATTGGTGATAATCACTGTAAAAATCATAATCATTGGGTTCACCATGGCCCATTGATGCCCATTGAACACATAGGGAGGTGAATGATCCAATCATCCTCCAGGCGGGCTGTGGTGCCCGAATGAAGCTGGTGGTCAACATGGTCACATGGCACAAAAAACCGCCCTTGGGGTCAGAGATGGGAAAGTCATGGACGAATCCCGTGATTTTAGCCATAAAAAATGCTGCTTTTAGCATCAGAAAATGTGGTTTTAGTATCAAACATTGGAGGTGCATCACCAGAATTTCATGGCGGACATTGGGGCTTCACATTTTTTAACCGTCGTGACATGGGGCCAATGAATACATAAATCCTACATATTCCACCGATCTCGTCGGGAGGGATGGGTTTTGAACCTCTGATCCGAAGTCTGTGATGCCACGTATTGCTATCCCCGTAGTTTCTCGTGGTTGACATGATCATTCAAGTCGAGTCGAGGTGACCATTCTTTTTGGTACGCGCCTCGCATTTGACCCTACCCCAATGGTTTCGCATATGACCCTACCCCCATTTTGGGGTAGGGTCGAATGTGAGTTCTTGGTACGCGCCTCGCATTTGACCCTACCCCAATGGTTTCGCATATGACCCTACCCCCATTTTGGAGTAGGGTCGAATGTGAGAAAGTATATAGCGTTTTTAGCTGCGAAAAGAGGGTCCCGGAGATGATGATGATCATGATCATGATGACGGTGATGATGGTGATGATGATGATGATGATGATGGTGACGATTTTGATGATGACGGATGATCGTGATGATGGTGATGGTGATGGTGATGATGATGATGCTGATGCTGATGCTGATGCTGATGATGATGATGATGCTGATGCTGATGCTGATGCTG